GTTCTCTCCGTTTTCTAAGTGAGAAAACCAGCTCTAAGAGATGCAAAATCGCTTCCCACTATCACCCAGCTAGTCTGTCACGGATCCAGGATTCAAACCCAGGGCCACATGCGTCCAGAAGCATAGCTGACAAAGATTCTCTTTGACCAAACTACTTAGGCTTCTCTAAGATTTCTTCTTGACTAGGCTTTAGCCTTGGACTATAAAAACAGCAGACTCTCAGCACAAATTATTCAGTCCACCCCCACTCCATCAACAGACTTAAACAAACACTAGCATAGTTTCTAACAGCTCAAGGCCGAATTCCTAGAATGACCCTAGCCCAGGGGCTAGTGCCTACCTGAGAAAACTCAAGGCTGCCAAGGGAAGTTGCTGTTTGTTCCAGCCAATACCTGAAGGGCAGACCCTTGTCTCCCGTCTCTGTGGGAAGCTAGGAGCCGAACTTCAATAAGAGCCGGTTAGCAAACCCAGATGTGTTTCACACGGACCGGCCCACATCCAGCTCTTCGTAAATTTAGCAGGAAATTCCCCGCAGGCCCCCACCATTCATCCTCCCTGCTCTCTCCTCTTCTAAAATGCCCCTGTACAAACGGGAGTTGAGGTCAGTTCACACTGGGTCCTCTTCCCTATTGCAGTAGCATGCTACTGTCTGGCCTTACTGCTTTACCTACTGTCTTTGTCTTTACAACTATGTTATTTATTGGTTATCTAATGCTGATATGATTGTGAATTCCCTGAAGCCATTTCTCTACTCAGCCATCTCGATGAAAAGAAACTGCTCCCAGGGTACTTGTCCAACAGACGGTCACAGGTTTGGAGTCCAGGTTGCTGGAACCTGGGACTCCCCCGTCTGTCTGCTCTGACGCTCACAGTTGGTGACGTCCACAGAGGGAATAAGTCTGCAGCCATGTGCCACCATGGAGGGCAGTAAATATGGACCCAGATGTCTCAGGGATGATTAATGAATGCTTCAGCCCTGGGCCTGGCCACATGTCGCTTTGACTGCAGATAGCCAAGCTGCAACACAGCCATGACATCCCCAAGGCGTCCCTGGGGAACCCTGAAGGTCTGGGTGGTGACAAACAGGGGCCATCTCTAGGCAAGCACAGGGGGTTCTCAGATGGGCATATGTGATGGAGAACACTGGAGTGGAGCCTGGGCTTTCAGCAGCATCCCAGCTGCTGTCGTGAAGGGGCCCCACCCAGGGGCAGTTCCAACTGAAGTTGGAATTCATTCTCTTTCTGCCTCCATAGGGTTATTCTGGAATTATCTGACAGTACCTGAAATCGGGACTTGGGGGAACATGGGCAGCTTGGGGATGCCGAGACCACAATTCGCTGCAGGGGAATGAGGAGGGAGAGTGGGAAGGGATGCAAGCCTCGGCCAGGGTTGGCATCCTTGGTGGAAGCCTGTGCACCGTGACTGTGACCGAGGAGGGCTCAACCCTACAATAATCTAGCCCCTGATGCTTGCTGAGAACAGCAGCAAAATGTGTGTTCAGCTGCTTTGGGATAGAATATTGCTGAGAGAAAAAAATCGTCTGTGTGTTATGATCACATTTGGTTCCCTTCCCCAAGGCAACTAATAAGAAGGCAGGTCCAGCCACAGACATGGGGATGGTGGCAAGATATTAAATGTTCCACAGATAGAAGTGGTCAGATACAATCATTACCACACCAAGCTTACTCATGCCCAACCATGCACCCAAAACCACACACTGACTTCCATTCCAGAGAAGCACAATGCTGAGGTCATCACCGCGTTAACCGGTGCTTGGTCACCTAGGAGTGGCAATTGATTGCTGAAGGAGGGAAAAATCAGATTAGGACCAGTGTTGCTTTACAGTCACGTCCTCGGCAGCACCCCCACACAAACCCCTGACCTAATGAGGTCACTAGGGAGTGTCTCGGAACGCTGGGACCCGGCGGAATGATGTCGGTTATCTCCCTTCCCTTTATGGCCGCGGCACAGCTGCACCATCCTGGGGGTTGTGCGTGTAGGAGTGTGAAGGCACAGCAGCTGTTGGAATACAGTGGGGCTGGTTGATGGAAAATTAGCCATAAGGCACTTATCACACGGGCTTTAGAAAACACAAGTTTCACTTCTTTGAAGTTTCTTAATAAAAGCTACTTTGGCCCAATTCGGGGCTCAGTTCCAGAGACAGACTGCAGCCCCCTGGCCTCCCTTTAACTCTATAATTGACTCTTGTGTTTCTTTAACCCTGCACCGCCCCTCTCCATCCCCATCATCCTTGCTGCATGGGACCGGCAGACCAGGTTACATTTCCTTTATTCTTTGATTCCTTAGTTCATATCTTAAGGGCCCACACCCTTTCCTTTTTTTTTTTCTTTCTTTTTTTTCCCTTTAGTTTTGCAATCGTTATTTTGGAGCCTTCTTGGGCAATGTTAGGGAACTTTGTTAGAACCGCGCGCTCTCATCTTCCTTTATTCCTTCTTGGTCCTGGTGAACTTTGAAGAACAGAAGGATTTTTTTTTCTTTGGAGGCTAACAAAAAAAATTTTTTTAATGTAGGAATCAACATGTGAACATTACATTTAGGTGGTAATATTCAGGTTACACATATAAGATAAATACCAAATAATATCATACTTTTGGTTTAATGGGAAACATAAGTTGTGCCAGTCATGCTTAACACCATGGTTAAGCGAAGAGAGACATGAGCTGGGAAGTCAAAGAGCTATGCAGAGGTTTAACAGTTTACGGCTGGCAATATATGGCAAATATTTCTGTAATATAGTGCTTTCAGTCCATCAGTGATGGTTCTGTTCATGCATTTAAAGGAACTGTTCAGTGTTTTGAGCGCTGAAAACTAGATTCAAAGTAAATCTGCTCAACAAGCTAATAACGCTATGAATCCTTTATATTCAAAAATATAGTTTAAATTTGGCAAATTTAAGGTAAACTTGGTTGTTTTCCTAATTACTTTGGGGCACAATTGAGACACTGCTGTACATAACCAGTATACTGCTATACGGTTAATTCTAGTTACTATATTTTATATTTGTTGGTCATCAACAGCATAAATTTTATGCTGTAAAAGAAATCTATCAATCCAGCAAAAATTATTATATTTAATTTTTTTTTAAGATGGAGAAACTAAATGTAAGAAGAATAGGCTTTTCTTGACATCTCATTTTCAATTACTGATACAAATTTACCAAAAGAAATAATTGTGTATTTTGCCTTGCAGCAAATAATCTGCAAAGTTTCCGAGATAGATGCATTTCTTGTTCAATTTCCAAAGAGATAAATAAAGGCTTTCTAACTGAAAGTATTTACACTCCTAGCTCTCTAAAGTAAACATTAAAAAACAAAGTACAAAGAATGACCTCAGGGCTTCTGAATAGTTACATAAAGTATTTTCTGTCCCAACACTTTCTCAAATTCAAAAGATATTTACTTCCTATAAGGATATGGCAAACTGTCTTCATTTCAAACCCTTCAGTCCATTTCCATGGCAACACTGCAGGACTCCTTGGCTACTATAAGTCGCATTAGTTGACTGTGGAATTTCCCAATATTCTTTACAACTTGAGCTTGGTCTGTTCTATACATCAAACAAACTAAGTCATCTGTTACTTTCATACACAAACTCCCATCAGCATGTCTATATTTGAGAACCACACATGCCTTCATAGGGTGGGCGAGGTAGAGTTTCGCAGCTGCGCGACTGAACTCCCAGGCGGAACTGGACAAGGAGGCAAGGCCGGGGACCAGAGGCAGCGCCACCCGCCCCTCCTACCTACGTAGCTCCNGTAGCCCATGGCAACCCACTGCCACAGGGGCTGCAGCCTACATCGTTGCCGGCAACTCACAGCAGCCCAGCTCCAGGTTGAGCCATTGTTGAGCATCTTAGCTGTGGAGGGCAGTGTCACTGGCACTCATATGTGGGATCCGAACCGGGGCCCCCTGGCATCCCAAGCCAGCTCTTAACCATCGTGCCACTTGGCCGGCCCTGATTGTTTACATTTATATTGGGCCCTGTCTCAATGACATGTTCTTCTGGAATCAGTACATGACTTGTCTCATTATCTGGGCAAAGCTAATTAGCTCAGAGTGCAGTGGCCAAGGAGAAGGGCTGATGCATTGGAACAAAGTAGGATGGGAAGGGAGACGTGGGAAGCAAGGCAGTTCTGAGAGAGGCACAATGAGGAAATGAATATAATTACCTTATAGCTGGGGGAGGGGGGCACCCACAGAATTTGAGTCCAGAGGATCTGGCTTTGAAGGCAGATGATTATTCTTTCTAGCTGTCTCCCCGGACAAGTTCATTCCATAATATTTAAATTGACGTGAATAATGCTTACTTCACAGGATTTGTGAAATGCACTGTAAAGGGCCAAATACTTCTCATTTGTGGGTAGTAATGACACTGGATAAAAGCCATGAGCTACAGTGTCACCACTCTTCCCCAAATCCTACTTCCCATGACGATCCCATTCCACTATAACAAGCCGTGGAATGTTCATTAATCTAGGTTTTTCCTAGGCATCCGTTGTAGAGTCTGGGGGTGCTTGCTGCATGAGTGTGTGCTTTTCCAATGCCTCTGTGCTTATACCAGATGGGCGAGGATAAGTGTGGGGGCTAGCAGGTGGGGAAAGGGCATCTTACACGTTAATGATGGGAGTGTAGGCTGGTAAAACGTTCTGAATGAAAATACGGCACTATTTATTAAAACTCTAAATGGTCACATTCTTGGACCAGTATTTTTACTTCAAAGCGTTTATCCTGTAGAAACAGTCAGCGTCCACAGAAACAGATGAGAGCATTCAGTGCACCAGGATCCAAACCCTGTTCTCATTCTGGGGGACTCCCTCACTGTGTACATTTTGGTGGGGTCNCACGTAATCAGATATGAGTAATTTCTGGATCAGAAGTTAAAAGAGGCATTGGGTTCTGTCCCAGTGAGGAGTGAATCCAACATCATAAGAGCAATTTTTTTTTAAAGTGCTATTAGAGAAGGAAATATAAAGACAAGAGGCGGAAACTGTATCACCGGCAGCCGTTCTGCTGGGTGGCATAAACGTGATGGCTTCGGGCACGGGCTTCAGAAATGGGCAAACCCTTCATTCTGGATTCCCTACTTGCTTGGGGTCGGAGGAGGGTGCGGGGGAGCGGGGGCAGTACCCTCAGTTACTTCTCAGACCTAGTTTCCTCCTCTGTAAAATGAAGATAGTAATATCACCTCTTGGGGAGGTGAGGGGACTCAGCTCTTATGCAGGGCTTCGCAGACCGCTTGTGATGAACGGCAGGTTGTCACTAAGCCTTCTGTGTAGTCACCTGATCTCGCACAGGGAGACACCACTGAGGAAGTGACCTTCTGCCTTTCTAAAGGGAGATGCCCAAGGTATAACGAAGAAAGTGGGGAGTGAGTGAGATTCCTAGAACTGTCACGTGTGGTCATTGGTGACCCACGTGGAACCTCTGGTTCTCCTAGGGTTTGCCACTTCTGCCGGGAGCACAGAGACAGAATCCCTTTTGCATCAACTGGCAAAGAAGCCGCCGCTACCATCGTCCCAGGGCAGAGAGCGACACACTAATCAACACAGACTCACTGAAGTGTAATTGAAAAAAGAATTTCAGGGCAAATACCTGAAATCCACCACTTGTGACCATTGATGACATAGAAGCCATCCTCCTCTCTGATGGAAGACTCAATGTTGGTGGCATCTGATGAGGCAACCTGAGGGAGAGCACATCCTGCTGAGATGGCCAAGGTCCTGCGTCCCCTGGGCAGAGACCACGTGGGGCCTGGCAAGGGTCTGGCCTGAAAAGGAACCCGTGGGTGTGGTACCTGGGGCTCCGTCATGGCGAAACAGGAGCGGGTCCTTCCCTCCAGCAGCGGCCCCAGCCAGCGGGCCTTCTGCTCCTCGGTGCCATAGCGCACCAGAAGTTCCATGTTCCCTGTGTCTGGAGCAGAACAGTTAAATATCTGAAAAGGAGCAAAAGCACAATGGTGACTCCCATGTGCATATTTAAAACTTCAAATACCCAGGAAACGGGTACCAGGGCCCTGTCATCCTCACGAGAGTTCTTCCTCTCCCCAGAGCAATGCAAAGAATTCCTAATGCAGTGTTTCAGAGCCCATGAAGCCTGAGCTAGTGGGCTGGAGACTCACGGAAGCCAGCCAGGGTCGGGCTCACATGGCTCCTGTCTCCCCCCGCAGACCCCCACTCTGAGCTGCTTTCCTGCTCTGGCTCTAACCGCCCACCTGGAGCTGTCCTCCCTCATTAGAAGCTTAAGTTTGTATCAGTGTCTGACTCCAGGGCTTGGTGGAGGAAATCCTGTCTGTGGATGGGGGGGGGGGGGGNGCCAAGAAGCCAAGCTCTTTCTCCACGATGAATGGGGAAGGGTCTGTGTAGATTCCCGGGATGGGTTCCCTCTGGGGACCTCAGGACCGGCCATCTGTGATGCCCCTTGGCCTCCTACCTTATTTCCTGCCATGTCCATGACATGGGCAGCTTTCAGCACCAACAGCCGGGCCTGCTCAATCTCCACACGTGACTGGGCGATGTCTGCCAGGAGCGTGCCCTGCTCCACCAGGGGCTTCCCAAAGGCCACCCGGGACTTTACCTGTGGACACAGGAGACATGGCTTAGAAACAGGCTGGTGCCCCGCAGAGGAGGTAGATGGAGCCACATGGGACAGAGCAGGAGAGGGCAGGGAGCGGAAGCAGAAGTGTGCCAGCATCTGCGGGTCTGCCAGCAATGTCCAGGGAGAAGGTCCACACGCAGACATTCACGTGCACGGCAGACCTGGTCAGCGTGGTGGCTGCACAGGGTACTTCCAGGAATCCCTTCACTCCCGCAGCTCAGCTCCCTCTGGGTTGCCAGGCAGGAACAGTTCTTTTAGGTCTAAGCCAGCATCTCACCCAGGGTAACTCGGAATTACACAGGTGGGGAGAGGGCGCCCTCTGCTGCCGAGGCCTGGCTTTACGCCTCAGGGCGCCCTAGGGAGCAAACTCTGGGTACCAGAGCCCCACTGTGGGCAGCTGTTACTGCAACAGGCATTCTAGTGTCTTTGAAAGTCATGAGCGGTCGGAAAAGATTATAAGGGATTCTTTTTCTCCTTTGTTTTGTTTTAGTTTTTTTAATCTCATTTTCTCCTTTATTTTTAACTAAAAACAATTACTACACAAATAATACTGGGGGTGCCAAAAAAATGTATACAAGTGGACACTTTCGTCAACGTTGCTCAAGCAGTAGTTCGCTATAATCAGAAGTATCTGGATGCTGATGGGAACTACTTTGAGCACCTCTTGTAATTGCAGAAGTCAAACATGACTTGTATTCATCTTTTGTTATAGGTATATATTGAGTATTACAATTTTAATATAGTTTCCCTTTCTTAAATAGTGTATACATATTTTTGGCACCCTCTGAATATCTCATGGCAGAAAAAGTATAAATTTTCAGACAAAGAAGAAAAATAGAAACACCTGGTATCCCATCATCTAGTTACTTACAGAGGATATCTGCTGGCTATCCTTCTAGAATTTTTGTATGCATCTATATACACACGCAGTTTTTATAAAAATGGAGTCATACTCCACATACTGCTTTGTAGCGTATTTTTTTCGCTTCAGAGTCAACAGTGATCATCCGTCTATGTTAAGAAGTAGAATCCTATAGCATCACTTTGGAATTTCACTGCACGCCTGTACCAGGGTGTCTCTGACCAGGCTCTGATTATTAGCCGGACAGGTTTTTCCCCAACACTTTGCTATTATAATCAGTGCTGCAGTGAACTTCCTACTATGAAATCTTTTGTAGACTCCTAGTTACTCCCTTTCCACCAAGTCCTATGAGTGGAGCTGCTGTATCAGCGCTCTGCCCCTTCTGAGGACTTGTGACACATGGGGTCAGACTGCTCTGTGGGAAGGCCGGTCTAGGACGGGGCTGAAGTTCCACATGAGCCCCCCAAAATAACTGATCAGTCTCAACTCAAAAGGCTGCAAAATCAATCTCTCTCTCTCTCTCTTTGTCTCTCTCTCTCTCAGATACACACACACACACACACACACACACACACACACACACACACGGTTGTAAATCACAGATTTGCTCAGTAATCCAAACGTATTNGGCCGTCCAGAAGCCGGCGACTGATCTGCCTCGCCAGGGAAGAGCGCAATGATGGTGCCAACTTGGGCCAGTGAAGCAAAGTCCTCCACAACTAGATTGAAGAACAAAAACGACAGCAACTTGTCTGTTCCCCTTCCCCCAATAAAAATCTTTAAAAAAAAAAAATTGGCTTGGGATGCCAGAGAGCCTTGGTTCGGATCCCACATGAGGGCCAGTGACACTGCCCTCTACAGCTAAGATGCTGAGCAACTGCTCAACCTGGAGCTGGGATGCCGCAAGTCGCCAGCGACGGCGTAGGCTGCAGCCCCTGTTGCAGTGGGTTGCCATGGGCTACCGTGTGTAGCCAGCGTGAGTGGCCAGCAGCCGCAGTGAGTGGCTGTCCAGAAGCCGGCGACTGATCTGCCTCGCCCGGGAAGAGCGCAATGATGGCGCCAACTTGGGCCAGTGAAGCAAAGTCCTCCACAACTAGACTGAAGAACAAAAAGACAGCAACTTGTCTGTTCCCCTTCCCTCAATCTCCAGCGCTGTTCCCATCCCCAAATCCCCAATAAAAATCTTAAAAAAACAAAAAACAAAACTCAAATCAAGTCTGGACATCCCATTACGTAAACTACTTTGGCACGTTTCGAATCAACACCAAACTTTTAACCAACACCCCACACGATGGGCACCTCCTCTTCCTGCTCCTCACCCCAGAGACATGGGGTACCCCCCACCCAGGGCCTCGGCATTTACTGCTCCTTCTTCTGGAGCACCCTTGCCCATTCTTGTCATGTCGGTCTGGCTCAAATGCCTCTTCTGGAGAGAACCTCAGCTCCCCAACCCCACAGGAATGCCTAGCACACGTTGGGCTCAGGCACTCACCACCCTCCCCAACTCGATATGCAGATGCGAACTCCCTGAGAATTGCAGCTTTGCCTGTTTTGTTTTCCTGCACAGCCCCCAGGGCCAAGAACAGTGCCAGGCCCAGAGCTGGGGTGCAGGTGATGAGTGGAATAATGTAACAGAATTGGAGATCCTGGACGAGGGGCTGTGGAGGCTGCAACTCGGTGACTTCACGTTCTTCAGGCAGCGTTCACTGTCCTGCCTGAACGTCCCCCAGCTTCGCAGCAGAAGATCTGAGGAAGACATGGGGTCGCCCTGCAGTTTGGCTTCTATTTTCATCGTTGCAGCTGCACAAGCTTGTGAACTAGTTAAGCAAGGTTAACCTCAGAGGCCACAAGGGAAATTCTGAGGGTCATGTGAGGTCAGGCCACTGGCCAAGGCAATTTCTTTTTAAAAACAGCCTCCTCCCTCAGGAGGCCCAAAGCCAGGGCTTTGGCTGCTAGAACCCTGATAGATTTGTCAAAAGGTTGCTCGCCAGTGTGGCTGGTGTTGTGACAGCAGTTAGTGTGGGGGTTTGAATTTAACTTTACCTTTTGTGAGCAATGAGCAGAGTGGCTGAAGAGGGCCTGTCCTCCCCCACTGCTGGGGTGAGAATAGCTGGGGAGCCCTTTCACAAGCCCCTCAGGACTGTCTGGTATCCCGAAGGTGTGTGGCCCGGGCTGCAGAAAGTGGGCACTCTCTCAGCCAAAGCAGTTGCCTTGAGGAGGTCAAGTGTGCAATGCAGCAGATGAGGGAACAGTCCCTGCCCATCTGGTTGGCCACACCGTGGATTATGAGATTAGCGGACTGGGTCTTAACACCTGGTGGCTTCTCTCTGCACGCCACCTGGTTCACGCAGTACCCATTTCTGGAAGGACTCAGACCTGCAGTGGGTGAGCGTTTCCCCTCCCCTCCCAGAGGACACGGCTCTCTGCGCTGTAATGGTGTATTGTCTACCACCTGTCCTTCCCCCACGTCTGACTAGAGCAGATGGAGGAGTATGGAGGTCGCAGGCACCCCCATAGTCTGTTGGTGACATTCACGTGAGTAGTGGTGAGATGGCCGATTAGGGACCTACCAGGGGTCACAGCGTCTGTGCTCCTGTCATGTATGGGCTGTTCACTGGGCAGGGACCTGTGTAAACACAAGTGTCAGGAGGCAATTGACGCACTGAGACAGAGGGACTGAAGAGTGGACCTTTATTCTGAATGCCTCCTGTATGACAGAGACATTCCCGAAGTCTCTGAGGTGTATTTTCTTAGTCTTTTGTGTTCCCAAAGCCCCTTTCCAAAATAACATCTTAATTAGTGTTCTGTGTCGTGGACGTTCAAACAAAGAAAATCGATGGCAGTGGCTTCATGATTCTGGTTTCATTTTCCCAAGAGCACTTGGCCTAGGTCTTTAGATGCAGCCCCTTTGCTTGCTGGGGAGGCCCCACAGAGCAGGAAGCTCCCACATTGGGAGCAAGCACAGGCACGCCACCTAGCAGGGCTGCCAATACTTGTTCAGGTTTCATAGCCAGAGGGAGAGGGGCATGGGCTGCCCACCAGGGCACTGAGACTGAGGACCAGCTCTCTAGGCTCTGTCCTGAAACCCTCTCAGCTCTCAGCTGCTCCCCTTCCTCCTTGCCTGAAACAGCAAATGCAAGGCTTCTCACAGAAATGTCTTCTGTGGGGACCCAGAAAGGCCGTGTGCACAGTGATTGTCCCAGGATAGAGCTGCCGGCAGGGTGAAGAATCACACACACTAGGCCTTCCAAAGCGCATCGTGTAGCGTGTTGGGCCTGGCAGGGCACTCTGGCTCCCAGTTCTGCTGCTCTAAACGTGGCGCTTCAACTCCATCTTGGCCACCGCTGCCCGGTGCACCTCATCAGGGCCGTCGGCAAAGCGCAGTGCTCTGGCCCAGGCGAAGAACTGGGCCAGCGGGTAGTCACTGCTCAGCCCTGCTGCTCCGAAGGCCTGGCAGACAGGGCGGGGGGCGGGGGGAGAAGCCCTGGGTGAGCCCTCATCTGCGAGGGCCCTGGGACCCCGGGGAACAAAGGCCTGTGTGGAATGGCTCAGAACAGCTGTCCTCCCAGGGTGGCCCCTGACCGGTGTGATGACTAGTGTTCTGGAAGAGTTCGGCTGGGGCCACTCTGCGAGGTGACTTTCGCCACCAGGAAAGTCTCTGTGTTGGGGCCAGGTGGTAAGATTTCGGGAGGAGGTGCCCCGCATGGTTAAGAGGTGGGGCTCCGGTGTAATCAGGACCAAGTTCCCATAAATGCGACATCAGCTGCCTGCAAGATGAGTGACCTTGGACAATTCACTCCACTTTTCTGTGCCTCTGTTTCCTCACCTCACATTCAAAATGGGAGTAGGAAAGTGGCCTTCCTCGTAGGGTTGTCCCAAGGAGGAAAAGGGAAGTGACATGGTGGTGACAGGGTGACAAAGGGTGGCTGTCGGAGTTTACAGGAGGCCAGGTGGCTGAAAGCAAGGGAGTTCTGCATGTGTTGGAAATGTCAGAGGACCAGCAGCCCAGTCTGTGCTCACCTGAATAGCACGGTCAATCACTCGGTAGGCCATGGACGGGGTCACCATTTTAATCATGGCAATATCTAAAGCTGCAGCCTGTGAGGAAGAGGAACAGACGAGGTTAGGAGAGCAGAACCCAAGGGCAGAACGCTTGGAAGAACGATCAGTTTCACTGGTGGGGCAGAAACAAGGGCTCAGGAGAGAGGTCAAGGTCTCACTGCACGACAAGTTCTGTGAGGCAGCCCCTGCCTGGTGCAGGGCGTGTGCCCAGCCCCTGGGGGCAAGACAGGTGCAGTGACTGTGAAGGTGACTAGGGATGTGGTGAGGTGTGGGCAAGTGCCTAGTCAAGGGACAGACTCAGGCACACAGACGTCCCAGGTGATGGGAGCATCGCCAGCACACTCAGAAGGCAGAGTGAGGCGTGGCCTGTGCTTTGATCACGGTCACAGCCAGCTCCTCTGTCTCCAGCCCAACAGTGGAGCAAGGCCTGCCAGGGCTCTGGAGACCGGGCTGCAAGAATCTGCCCTGGGTTGGGGCATTGAAGCCAGGACCCCGAGAGCCTCCATATCCAATACTAGAGTGCCAAAGGACCGGGAATTGGAGCCTGGGTTGCCCCCCCCCCCCATTACTGAAGGCTCTCGGCTAAGGGGTGAAGGCTGCCCCCATGGACAACTGGAGAAGGCAGGGGTCAACATGGGCGTTGTGCCTAGCTGGCCACTAGAAGCATTCGGAAAGGGATATTTAAGGAGTATTGTCACACCTGAAAACAAAGCCACTCTTTTGGTGAATCCCTGTGCTGCTGCTTAGTTTGCCAGATGCCTGCAAACTACAGGGCCTGGTAGCCCAGGCCCAGGCAGCGCTGAGGCCAGAGGGCTGTGACCCTGTCAGGCCCAATATCTTGCACCCAGAAGTTCACCAGGTCAGTAAAACAGAG